GTGCATGCATACACGCACATGGGGGTTAGGCAGAGGGAGAGAAACCCAAGCAGATTGCGCTGAGCACGGAGCTCAATGTGGGGCTCAGTCTCACAACCCCAAGATCATGACCTGAGCCAAAACCAAGAGTTGGTTGCTTAACCAACTGCACCACCCAGGTGCCCCTAGAGCCACTCTTGACTGGGGGTTCACTCTGTGCCGGGACACACAGTGTACTGCTCATGGCCACCTTGAGTAGTACAAGTCAGGATGTGCATTTCTAGAAATGGAGACACTGAGCTGTCGGGTGATGTAGCCACATAGTTTGGGATATTGGTACTGGGCTTCAGATCAGGTCTCTGGCCCCCAACACTTCTGGTCTTGCTGCTGGGCACTGCTTCTCAAACCCTGCCTCTTGTGGCAGAGGGAAAAGGAAGTACCCAGGAGCAGTCCTCAGCAAAGATGGAAGTCTCTTTGAAGTCCAACTTTGGTTTAAAAATTCATGGAATATTTGGGTTCTTCAGAATGTATGTTTTCAATTCCTTACTAGCTTTAATGTTCTCTCCACACTGTTGAGTAGAATGGGTTCTGCAGGGAGATCCCCCATATTTATCCCATGGCTTTGCATCTCCTCTGCACAGTGCCATATCCTGACCCATAGACCCTGGGTAGAAAAGTGGGGGTGATACTGTTGTGAATGGAGCACGATGCCCTGTAGCTTGTGGTGGACTGCATGCCCAGAGTTCACCATAGGGTGGAGGTGGGGGTGAGTGGAATTTTGACCTTTGGGCCAGAGCCAGAGCTTTTTTTCTAATGCTTCCACCCCTCCGCACTAGGACATTCACCATGGCAATGGCACCCAGCAAGCATTTTACAATGACCCGTCTGTGCTCTACATCTCCCTGCATCGCTATGACAATGGGAACTTCTTTCCAGGCTCTGGGGCTCCTGAAGAGGTATAGTTCCTGGGCTCAAATATGGGGCCCCGTGGGGAGGTGGCAGAAGGGGACCTAGCAGGGAGCCATGGATGCCTGTGGTAGTGCTGGTTCCCTGGGGAATCTGGGCTCCTAGTGGGAGGACCATGCAGGCTAACTGCCCTTCCGTGCAGAGCAGTAGTGAGTGGGATTAAGGGTTGGAATCAGGGCTGAGGGCAGGGGCAGTGTCTGGGGTCCCCAGGCAGTGAGAATAACCCCTCCCCCACCACGCTGCTAGGTTGGCGGAGGGCCGGGCATTGGGTACAATGTGAACGTGGCATGGACGGGAGGTGTGGACCCCCCCATCGGAGACGTGGAGTACCTAACGGCCTTCAGGTGGGGACTGAGAAGGGCCGAGGGAGGGGTGGGAGACCCTGGGCCCTGCCACGGGAGGGGCAGAAAACACTCAGTTTGGTGTGGGTGGAGGGGCTTGTCTCTGGGGGGAACACAGAGTGAGGTGAGGCCTGGCCTAGCCACCTGCCCGGGTTAGCTTGGGCCCTCCCTTTGCAGGACAGTGGTGATGCCCATTGCCCACGAGTTCTCACCTGACGTGGTCCTGGTTTCTGCCGGGTTTGATGCTGTTGAGGGACACCTGTCTCCACTGGGTGGCTACTCTGTCACCGCCAGATGTGAGCTGCTGGGGGATTGAGGGAGGCTGTGGAGCAGTGAGGATGGGGTTAAGTGGGGGCACGGGGCAGGAATAGACTGGTATTGCATAGATTGGGAGGAGGGAAGCGGGGGCTGGTGGGGGGCAGGTCCAGAACCTGGAATCATCTTGGCAGGAGCCTCCCCCTCTCCTTCTGCTGACCTTGGCCTTGGTGGGGGGAAGCAGGTGGCTGTGGGGTAGCAGAGGGTATATCTCCTTCCAGAGTCCTAGAGATGGAGTTTGTAGATCCCTCGTGTTTCAGTGGTGCTCCTTATGACATGTAATTGGAATATATTTAGCTTATCTATTCTAATGGAGCATTTAGTCCGTTGATACTGAATTTTATTATGGATATATATTTGAGTTTAAATTCACCATTTTATTTTGTGCTATTTGTTACACCTCTTGTTTTTGTTTTTGTTTTTTTAATTCTTCCTCCCTTCACTCATCCTCCTAAAGGCTTTGGCCACTTGACCAGGCAGCTGATGACGCTGGCAGGGGGCCGGGTGGTGCTGGCCCTGGAGGGAGGCCACGACTTGACCGCCATCTGTGATGCCTCTGAGGCCTGTGTCTCAGCTCTGCTCAGCGTGGAGGTAAGGGGTACAGGGAGGCACTAGGGGTGAAGGGCCCCTTTCTTGATCAAGTGGCACTGACCAAGAAGGTGGGAAGGTCTTCTTGAGTCCTAAAGACAGCTGGTGGCCAGGGAGGGTTTTCTGACCCAGAGTTCCTCCAGAAAGCTAGGTTTGCCCCTGTCATGGGAGATGTCTGAGGCTCAGTGAGGTGGTTAGAGGGCCAGGCACCACCAGCCATTCCCTACCATAAGCCTTCTCTTCTTTCCCCTGCCAGCTGCAGCCCTTGGACGAGGCAGTCTTGCAACAAAAGCCCAACATCAACGCAGTGGCCACACTAGAGAAAGTCATCGAGATCCAGAGTGCGTGGGGACAGGCAGAGAGGCTCAGCCCTCAGCTTGCCAAGGGGGCAGAAGCCTGTGGGTCTGCCAGGGTTGGGGACGTAGCATTGGGTTTTCTGTCCTCCCTGACACCTGCCTACTCCTCGTCCTCAGGCAAGCACTGGAGCTGCGTCCAGAGGTTCGCTGCTGGTCTAGGTCGTTCCCTGCGGGAGGCCCAGGCAGGTGAGACGGAGGAGGCAGAGACTGTGAGCGCCATGGCCTTGCTGTCGGTGGGGGCGGAGCAGGCCCAGGCTGCTGCTGCCCGGGAGCATAGCCCCAGGTAAGCCGCCTTCCTGACCTCTGCCTATGCTCAAGTGAGTGCCCCCACCTCAACAATCCCCCCTCTGTGTGCTTGTTCCCACAGGCCAGCAGAGGAGCCCATGGAACAGGAGCCTGCCCTGTGACGCCCTGGCCCCCATCCCTCTGGGCTTCATCATTGTGATTTTGTTTATTTTTTCTATTAAAAACAAAAAGTCACACATTCAACAACGTGTGCTGTGTGGGTCTCTCAGCCTTGCCTCCCTGCTCCTCAAAGCTGTCTCAGGCCTGCCTCCCCCTTGGCTTCTCTCAGTGTGGCCCAGGTCTCCACTCTAGAAGTTTGCTCCCCTGGAAGGTTGGGGGGGGGGCGGGACTTTCCAGCCACCCTCCATGTTGTGTCCCATGCCCACTTTCCTGCATCCTGTCCTTTTCCCCCTTGGAGCCTGGGTCAGCTTAGGGTGGCATGGGGGTCCAGGCAGTACTGTCTGGTTTTGGGGTCTCCCTGAGAGAGGAGGGAGCAGTAAGTTTGGTGCCTTGGCTTCAGCTGACTTGGGGGGAAATGCCTTAATTTCAGCCTCCTCCCCTCTCCAACCTCAGGGGAAGATCCAGAAGGTTGCTCTACAGTCTTATGATACAGAATGGAGGGGAGGGGGGCTCCCACCCTGTGATTCTTTACGTTTTTCCCTCTTTGTTGTCCTCATCCTTTCTGCACAGAACCCTTCTTCTCCTTTCTCTGGGCCTCAGTAGTGAGGGGAAGGCTAGTGCCCCAGAATGTGGGCCTATGTTCTGTAGGCAGGGCTGTGTTGCTTCAAACTCCTCTGGGCCTATTTCCCCTTCCTAGAGGCTGGAGAGGGTCACAGTGTATGGGGAGTGGTGGGGCTGCACTCCTGGGTTCTGAGGGACCAGGAGGAGCTGTAGAAGCAGGCCTGCTCTCTGCCTTACTCTGTTGGCTTCCCTGTCCCTCTGCTGGCACGGCCTGGGGAGGGGAGGTGGTCCCTACAGGGGGACTCCAGGCTGGTGAGAGCCCCCCTGCTGTTCAGGACCACATTTCCCTAGCCATCCAGCATGCCATGAGAAGGGTCAGTGGCCCACCTCCCTCCTGGGGCCTTTTACTGTAAAGCCTGGGGATGGTGAGAATAGGGATTCTAGAAGGGGCAGGGCCAGAACCCAGGAACCCAGGAGTCTGCCCTTAGCTGTAGCTTCCCTTCCTCCTGTGCTTCCTTTGCTGGCCACTGGCCCAAGGGAGCGAAGACCAGGAGGGGCTGGGCACCACTCTTTCTCTTTCCTAGGAGCCCAGCCCAGCCGTTTCTGGGGCTGGGGGCCCACAAGGCTTCTAGGGAATGCTGTCTAGCCTGTAGGAAACCAAAGATGGGAAGGGACTCCTAGGGGGCTGAGTCTTCCTCCCTCCTCCTCCCGATACCACATATACTTTCTTTCCACTCTGTCCTGCGGGCCTCACCAATCTGTTTACATATTTATTTCCCTAATGGGGGCCTGAGTAGAGTTGAGGGAGCCAGGGGAGGGGCAGGAGTCTTACCACCATTGGTTCATCGTGTGCTTGTGTCTTGTGTGTTGTTAGTGTGTTCTAGATCCTCCTGCGGGATGCAGATGGGGCCAGGCCCAGTGTACCAAGTCTCCCCGTGCTGAGCCCCAGCTCCGGGTCCTTAACCCTCCCTCTCCCCATGGCCGGTCTGGTTCTCATGTAAACCCACTCCTTGCTTTGTCTCCCTGGATATGGATTTCAGTTAAGGATTTTGTAATCTGTTACACTCTGTGTCCTTATGTAAATAAACTTGTTTCTGGCAGTGCCTTCTGGGGCTGATGTCTCTTCTCTGGGCTTCCAAATGGAGTAGAGGTTCTCATTCCCCATCCTGGCGAAGAAAAAACTGCTCTTCTTTTCTACAGCCACTGAACTAGCCAATTTAGGAAACAAGGCTGGGGTGGGAGGGAGTGAGTCTCTGTCCTTGTAGGTTAAAGACAAGATTTCACTGAATGTAGCCATAGCATCTCATAGGACCTCTCTTGTGGCCTAGGTGGTGATGCTGGGGAGAGGGCCCAGTCTGAAGGTCTCCATGGAAACAGTGGTGGTGGGGGGGGCGGGACAGTGCAGAACAGGTGGCCTGGCAAGGGTCTCACTTGCACACACACAGGCAAGTTCAGTGGAAATGTGTGCACAGGCAAGAAAGAAATCCAGAAGTATTCAAGAACTTTATTGGGGCTGCTCTGAGCCCCTCACAGTGTTACAGGAGCCCATAGGTCTTGATGTTGCCTTAGCTCCCTGGGGATTCAGGGGGGGGAGAAGGCAGGAGGACCAGCCTTTCTGGGAGAGAGAAGGCCCTTTTTGGGGGCTAAGACCAGATGGTGGAGCAGTGGGAGACTGAGGATGAACAGGGCCTGCTGGGAGCTGGAAGGGGATGAGGCCCACTTTCTGGAGTGTGGAGGTCATAGACTGTTGGCTTTGTCATGGGCAAGTGGCAACGGGAGGCACTTGGAAGTCAGGAAGAGCGGATGGGTGGTGTCTCCTGGGCACTGAACATGTGCACCACCCAGGGCACAAGGGCTAGGACAAGGCATGGCCAGAGGGTGAACTTGAGGAAATTGAAGATATAGAAAAGGCTGATCTGAGGAGGATGGCCCAGCCAGTCCAGGGGGCCCAGAAGCCCCATGGCCAGCACAAGGCAGGCTATCTTCTGGCCGTGTCCCAGCTGTGCCCGCCGTACCTGGGTGTAGCAGGGAGAGTGCAGTGCGATGCCCAGACCCAGGGCAGCCCCTGAATCGCGGCTCAGGGAGGCAAAGGGCCGGCTATCCACATGCACCCACTCGGGCCGCTCACACCACTTGGAGGCCAGGCGGATGGACCTGTGGGGAGGAGAGGACTTTGCCAGGAGACACATTCCCTTGGAAACAAGAGGACCAATGGCTTTTAGCTTCTTTGGGGTCTACCCCCACGTTCTGCTGTGACCCCAGGAGAGTCTGTGTGAACAGGTAATGTGTCCCCTTTTAGCTATAGCCAACCAGGGACCCACTAGGCTAGGTACGGGCAAAGCAGAACAGGCCCCAACGTGCTGAAGCTTCAAAGCAGGACTTACCAAGAAAGATCCAAGCCCAGTGTAACAAGGGTCCAATAGATGAGGCTGGCACCCAGTAACAGGGCCAGTGAGGTCAATCCGTAGAAGCTTAGCTCCCGCTCCATGGGCACCCGGGGGGCCATCAGCCAGCCCAGGACAGCACCTAGTGAAGTGGGGTGACAGCAGCTTCAAGGAGTTTGGGGATATGAGCCCCGCTGAGCTGTAGGGCAGTTTGGCAGAATAGACTGAGGTATAAGGGGGCCTTGGGCCTGCTGTACGATGGAAAGAACCTACACTGGTCCTCCCACTGCCAGTGGCAACCCCTAGGCCCACTCTGTTGCCCCAGTTGCTCACCGGTTATCAGGCCAGCCAACACCTGGTGAGGGAAATGGGCTAATAGGAAGATCCGAGACAGGCCGACCGCCAAGAGAAAGGTGCAGTAAGCCAGGCTAGGTATCACCCTCACCCAGCGGCTACAAAGAAAAGCAAATGGTTCAGGAGGTGTCCATACACAGCATGGCTTCTCTCAGCATCCAAGTATTTCATGGTTGGACCAAATGCCCCAGGGTCCCCAGAACTCCAGTTCCCAGGCTGCCCTCCTGCTGCGTCTTTTGAATCCAGGGTACCATCCCCCTGCCCCCATTGGTAGGCAATGCCAAGGTATACCTGTGGGCCCGACTGGCCACCTGGGAAGAGATGGCTGTCATAATGGGCCAGAGGGCTGCTCCTGTGATCATGCAGTGTCCAGAAGGGCTGCCTGCCGGGGAATCCAGAAGCTTGAGGTGAGAGGATGAGAGTGGAACTCAGGAGCCTCCAGTGATGGGTGGACACAGCTGCCATCACTGCACCCCTTCATCCCCTCCATCATTGGTCCATGGCTCTCTCCACCCTACAGCCTTCTTCACTTCTGCCTGAGGCCATTGCTCTCAGGCTTCTGCTTTGCCCAGTATCTCTTGGATCTACTCTAAACAAGGTGGGCAGCTGGCACTCTGGTATGGGTGCTTCTCTTCCAGAATTCAACTCAGTCTTCCTGGGGTTTCTTTGTTCTCTGGGTTAGTAACTGAGAGGCTGGGCCTCCGGTGAGACCACCCCAGCTAAAAAGTACTCTGAAACACTCACCAAACCCCAACCACATGGGGACAGGGAGGTTTGGGACTTCCCACCTGGACCAGTTTCACAAGAAGAGGGGAACTGGTGAACCTGGGCTGGGGCATGGCTGTAGTACCCAGACTCATGGACCCACCAATAGGGCCTGTCTCCAAACAGAAACCTAGGAGAGAACAGATGCAAGATGACATTACACACACATACAGCCAAGGAAACAGGTGGGGAACAGAAGGATGCCTTGGAGTACACTGGAGGGCCTGCAGGGTGGGGTTAAAAAGAGATTCCAATTCTGTGCATTACCTTGCAAGGATTTTTTTTTTTTTTTTTTTTTTTTTGCCTTGAAACAGGAGAACGCGCGCTATTTTTTAAGTGATAAAGAGACAAGAGATTGTGTGTGTGCACTTACATGCTCTGAAATGTTCTTTGGTCCTGCTCTTATCCCTCCTACTACAGGGCTGGCCCTGCTCTTCTCATTCCTAGAGAGCCCAGGCCTTACCTCTTTCTTTTGCTTCCAGACCTCCACTGACCCTCCTGCTTCTCCCTCTCTCCCCATTTCCTAAACTCCAGCCGGAATTATCTACAGGTGAACTCCTTAGGCCAGTCTCTTGTGTTTGAAATCAGGAGTGGGAAATGGACAGAGGGTGAGAAAGGACAAGGAGGACCAAAAGTTCAAAGTCCCCTGGCCCAGCAGGTGTTTTGCTGGACCCTGAAGAGGCTAGGCTACTGCTGCCAGAATGAGAATAGGTGAGAGCAGAAAAGCAGCTGTGGGGGAGGGACACAAAAGGGAACCGCCTCCCCTCATCACCAGGTTCACACATTGGGTGTTCAAAACACACTTAGGAAATGAATAGGGGCTTTGCTTTGTTACGTGGGAGGGGGCATTGAGAGTGTCTCGTCAAGGCGGTGGTGGTGGTGGTCTTGTAGGGACCAGCAGAGAGGGAGGCTCACGCAGACTCTGAGCGGGGAGACAGCACAAAGCAAAGGGCAATTAGGCAAGAAGGAAATGATGAGACTGCTGCTTTTCCGTTTTCAGGAGGGATGAAGCCCTTGCAGAGAAGAGTGGAGGGGAAGGTAATTCCTATTTTGTCTTTCAGCAAGTCATTTCAGCCCATTCGAGTGTCTCCTCTGAACTCCCTTCCCTCCTCCAGGCAGGGTTCAGGCAGGGAACGGAGGCTGAGGTGAGGGGAGGAGCAGCTCATGCCCAGCAGGAGGCAGAACTCCTCTCTTCACCCAAGAGAGAACAGGTGGCACAAAGAGATAACCCCTGAGAGCCCCACTCACTTGCCTGGCTTCTAAGTCTGTGTGAAGAGCCCACTAGTGAATGGAGGAGAAAAGGAAGAAGAAAGTGTTCCCTGGAAAGCGGTGCTTTTCAAGCCTTACTCCAAACACCTGAGGTCCTCGTTAAAATGCAAATTATGATTCAGGAGCTCTGGTCTGGGCCCTGAGATGGCGCATTTCTAGCAAGTTTTCAAGTGCTTCCTATTCTGCTGGTCATGGTCGGAAAACGCACCTTAATTTTCCAGCCCTCTCTGTCCTTAGCAACTAGTGTGAAGCCTTGCACAGGGCACGCTTCTTAACAACTAAATGTCAAATAAATGAATGACTAGATGAATGAAAGAATGACTTGAGAAGGACTTTTTGCTACCTAAGCTGCCATAGATGCTCCTTAAAATAGTTTTCCCAAACCCTCCCCTGAAATTTCTAAGTCAACACGTCTGAGGTGGGATGAAGTACTTGCATTTTTTAAACACACCCCTTAGGTGATTTCTCTGATCAGGCCCGTTTGAGAAACACTGGTCTAATGAAGTAAGACGGGTCTGAGGTCTGAGACCAAGATGCACAATGATGCTCAAAGGAAAAACGTCAGGGGCCCCGGGGTAGGGATGAGGAGGTCTTAAGGCCATGGGGTTCATTGGGGCGGGGTGGCGGGGGGCCCGAGCCTTTGAGGCACCTGCTGAGAGAGCTCAGGGCTTGCCCAGGACTCAGGGCCCATGGGGGTGGGGGGACTAGGATGCCGAGGGCTTCGCTGTCTCACCACTTGAAGACGAGGTTGAGCCACTCGGTGATGAGGCTGATCCACAGCACTGCGATGCCCACGCGGCGGGAGGTGTAGTAGGCCGCGGGGAAGTAGAAAAGAAAGAGGCTCTTGGGATCGCCCAGAAAGGTGACCCAGAGCCACACATTCTCCAACCAAGGCAGTTGGTTCTGCAGCGCCTCGGCCATCGCGATGCCCGCGCCCAGCGTGGACTCCATGGCGACCCAGGGGCCGGCCGGGCGGGGGTTTGCTGTAAGGCGGAAGCCGGGGAGTCTCGGAGGCCAGGAAGCGGCTCCCCACGGCGGTCCAAAACCCACCTTTCTGAGCCCCAGGCTCCGCCTCCAGCCAGCGGCCAGTAAGGCCCCGCCCCCTACCCCGCCCCTCGGCAGTCCCAGACTCGCGGGAGTCCGGCCCCTCGCCGGTACGTTTCCTCTAGTGCTCCTCCCGGGCCTTCCTTTCTACTGGGCAGCGCAGGGGACAAACCTTTGCGAGGGCGTTTCCGCAGAGCCCCACGTGGCCGCTGTTGCCGGCACGTGGGCATTGGGCGCAGAGGCGGCTCTCGCTGCTGTTCCGGGTCAAGGGAAGGACTAAGCCTAGGGGTCGGCGACGCGCCCGGGCTTCTTGCAGTGCTGCTGCGAAGATGGATGTGTAATCTTCAGTGTCAGGATTCCTTCCAGACCAGACCTCTTTTCTCCCGTACCGCTACCCTCCAAAGATATCCCGAGATTTCTTGGAGAGAGGGCTACGGACACTCCCTCGGAGGAGCCAGGCATCTCCGGTGGCGCTGAAGCGGGACCCTAGATTTGCGTACACCGCTAATCAATCCGTGCCTTCCGCCCCCAGCCCCAGCATCTCCAGCCCGAATCCATCGGTTATTGATTCGGGTGCTGACAGATAAACCTCTTCATCTTGAGGAGTCCTCCCTAAACACTTGCGAATTCTTACACGTAGCAGTCTAAGTCACACTTCCTCTCACTTTTAGGCTTGCTCTTCTCCCTCCTTCCATTTTCTTGCCCCCCAAAACCCCGTTGGTCAGGTAAACTATGAGGTAGTAGCTGGGTTGGAATGGGAAGAGGAGGGGCACACATCCACGACAAAATTTGGAAATATCTTCTCGAGGAACACACACAAAATAGAAACCTCAGCTATTCTGGGCGAGATCCTGCCTGGAGGCAGACTTGGGGTGGGAGGAGACTGTTGAGTGGCTCCCCGGTTTCTTCCTACCTCCAGCAACTTTGTTCTTGGAGAGTTTTCTGATGGGTGGATGAAAATGAGAATGTAAATATGGTTCTTCTTGGAAAGAGATTAATTTCACTAATTAAAAAGGTGTGGGGAACGGAAGCTGGATATAAATGTCATTGTACTACCTTGCTAAATGTTTTTCAATTGCCCCAAGGAGAAAGCCTACATTTTCTAGGTCTTTCAAAGTTTGTTCAGGCTCCGGTGAGACAACCCTTACCAGCCTACCCCCACAACTCCATTTCATAATATTTCTGAATTGCTTTATGTTCCTTGAAATCACCAAGCTCTTTCTCCTTATAGAGATCTTGCTTGTCTTTCAGGTCTCAGATTTTTTTCACTTCCTCCGGGAAGCTTTTCCTAACAGTACTGGGCAGTCATATATATGAAAACGTATAATCACAATGCCATGTAAAAAGTGGAGCGGCAGTTACATGTGACTTGTGAGGGTCAGACTTGAAAGTTCCCTGGAAAAACACAACTAACTAACTAACTAACACAACTAGGGAGCAAGCAGTACTTTTATTCCTACTACAATGATTGTACTAATAAACACCCAACATTAGGAAGTTGATGTTTCTTGCAGGGTAAGGAAACGCTTTTGAACTGTGTTCAGGTTAGGTAGTGCCAAGGCTGGCCCTTTGCCTCCCTTTGGATTAGGGAAAGATCAACCTGTTGTTACTCATACATGAGGCTCGAGAATTTCTATGGGGGATGAGAGCAGGTGGATTTCGAATATCAGATGGACACTAATGGGGGAGGGTCAAAACTGCTCCAAGGCCACCTTTGTCACTACCACTGCTCCACATTCCTGCCCTGTGCCTGGCTTTCTAGAGAGGACAAGATGGGAGATGTGGAAGCATCTTGAGTTCCAAGGGTGATGGGCGATCATGGAGGAACTGCATTCATTTGTACACATTATCTCACTTAACCTCCTAATACTCTAGGAGGTATTATTTAATGCAGTAAATTGCACCGTCTTTGGAAACAGGTAGACGGAATTCTTTCCGGTTGTGCGACCTCAGCCAAGTTTAGTCTAAGACTTTTGTTTCTTCATCTGTAAACTGAAGATGTTGATTCTCACCTCAATAGATTGTTGGATGCTCAGTAAGTAATAATATAGAAAAAGTAATGATACAGGGTCAGGGTTAGTAATTTGCTCAAGGTTATAGAACTTCGTTAAGTGGCAGACCTGGGACTCCGATCCTAGTTTAGCTAATCCTATAGGCCATGTTCTTCCCACTAGTACTTTGTAACTGGGTATAATCGTTTTGGGCAAATTTCCTTAAGACCTCTGGGCCTCAGATTACTCTATGTAAAATAGAGTTCATTCATTAAACTCTGTGTCAAGGTGTGCACATAATAGAGATTGCAGCTCCCTTCTCCTTCCCCTTTTCATGCCACGTAGGTCATTTATCTTTAACTTCTAAAATGGACTCTGCAAGCACTTTATAAGCGGGCGCAGTTGCACAAACACTTATTCAGATTCCCTTTATTTCCTCTTTTTTCCCTTTCCACCTAGGCTCCCGCCCCACCCAGAGCCAGGCCACGCCCTGGCGTGTGACGTCAGCACGCCTCGTGCGTCGCGTCGCGGCGCTCACTGGGGGCCCGGCTTTCGCCCGCTGCTGCCGCCGCCGCCGCCGGCCGCGGCTGCTCTCCCAAGATGGCGGCTCCTCCGGGCGAGTACTTCAGCGTTGGGAGCCAGGTGTCGTGCCGGACGTGCCAGGAGCAGCGGCTGCAGGGCGAGGTGGTAGCCTTCGACTACCAGTCCAAAATGCTGGCTTTAAGTATCCTTCGCTGCGCGGAGCCCAAGCCCGGGCCGGCGTGTATGTGTGGTGGTGGGGGGGTGGGGGACGACGGCGGCGGCTGGGGCCCTCTCCGGGCCTAGGGGCGACCGGCTACCGCGGCGCCCGGAGCGCATGCGCACGGCCCTGAGCTCCCCTCCCCCTCTTCGCGTGTCCCTCGGTCCGCTTTGGGGACCCTGTCTCCCATCCCTTGTGGGAGCTGGGCCCCGAGCGAGGGTCAGTGGGTGGAGGGGGGCTTGACACGCGGATGCCTTTTCGGGGGAAACGCTGTGAGGGGGGGATACAGTGCTCCAGAGAGAGAGGGTGGTCGTGGGAGGGGGCTGGTGGATTGGAGCCCGGATGGAAGGGGGGCGGGTAGAATCATGTGGGGAGGGGGTGTGTAGAGTAAAGAGCTGCTAGTAGGGCTGGGGTATGGAGTTTAGGAGGGGGTGTCTGCTGGGAGGATTTGGTTCAAGGAACGGCGGTGGGGTGGTGACCAAATGGGCCTCGCCTGCCTTGGGGGGAGAGTAACTGCAGGACAGTTTGTATCTGAGGTGGGGATAGGGGCTTATTTTGCTGGTGAGTGTGTGTGCGTGGTGCTGTTGGGGGCGGGGAGTACTGAATGAGGTTTCTCAGTCATTTGAAAATTGCTGTTTTGAGAATGTTTCCATTGGAAACCTGGTCCCAGAGAGAAGGCCACGGTTTTTAGGGGCTCGTGTAGGGTTGTGTGGGTTACAGGTGAAAGAGTAAGTTACGCTCCCTTGCTCAGCCCAGCACATGGAGTCCTGACTTTTCCATAGTAGTTGCCTCCCCTTTTGGAAGTGGTGGTGATTAACAGAATGGAAAAGAAGGCCTGCTTCTTTGGGGTGGAAATGATTTCTGAATTACTCCAGGAAACTCAGTCTTGGAAACAAAATAGTTCCTGGTTGTAATAAATGTACCACCCCTTCCCCTCTTTTTGAGCCACAGGTGGGTTTATTTTTTTGAGGAGTAATCCTTTATGGCATCTTTCAAAAGGAAGTTTTCTACTGAATGCTGCATTTGAGTGGCAAGTATTTTAATTTATTTAACCGCTAGTTGTAGATATTTTTAGCTTAGGAAGATGTCCTTTACAGCAAGAACTGTTGCTTTTTTGGGTAAACTGTAAAAACTCAGACCTGGACCAAATAAGACCTTTTACATTAGTGGGTTAGTTGGAAGGATTTTGGAATGAGGAATTACTTTATTTTTAGTTGGCATATAATATACTCTTGATAAATAGTTGGAGGAGGGGTGAGTGAATGAATGAATGAATAAATAAATAAATATATATAGATAGATAGATAGATAGATAGATAGATAGATAGATAAATGGGTTAAGTACCTGGGTTCACCTTGAGTGAGCCTCCTTTCCAGTCCTATAGTTTTCTCCTCTGCGGAATGGGAAATCTGAAATCGAAAAAAGTGAAAAGAGCAGTATATAGATGAAAGTATTGTACCAAGAACAGAGAGTAATGCCTCTTCTGTGTGGTGTGCCTTAGGTCCAAGACAAACTCTATATATGGCATTAACATTGCATTATGCTTCCATACAACCAGTAGAGAGGTGACGGAAACCCTTTCTGAGGCTTCCAATTTTGGATGGTATTTGGCTTTGAAAAGCTTGAGATCTTTTGGTTCTGGGGTTTTGAGCGGGCGGAAGGTGACAGGCAGAGATTTCCTGAGGAGAGCTATGATTCTTGTGATGCTCCCCCTTCTTGCTCGTGGCACACCTGTTACACCAGCCTCTTTTCAGTTGTTTTCCATGCCCCTTTTGGGATGCGTCAGTGCTGTTTGCCTCTATTTTCCTTAACTTTATTTTTTTCACCAGAATGTCCCTCTTCCAGTGGAAAGCCCAACCATGCAGACATCTTGCTCATAAACTTACAGTATGTTTCAGAAGTGGAAATAATTAATGACCGAACAGAAACCCCTCCTCCCCTAGCTTCACTCAATGTTAGTAAGGTAAGGACTTGCGGGCAGTTCTGGCTCCAAAATGGGAAACATTGAGACTCCTTGGCTCTTGGTGATACATACATTGTCTGTTGTTTTTCATTTTTTCATTAACATAAAATTCTTTGTTCTGATACCTTTTTGAAAAACATACCGGTTTAGGTTTCTCCTTATTTCTGCGTACCTTCAGACTTAAGAAACCTTCTAATGCCCAAATAGAGAAATAAAATTGCAAACTTACTTTTGTCCTTAGTGAAAGAGGGCTGTTTTTTTTGTTTTGTTTTCTAGAAACCTGGAGTCTGTGCGTGAACTTCTGGTATTAGCGGGGTTGGGTAGGGGT